GTAATAAAATATTAGTCGTTTACAAAATTTTAAGATTAAATATGTATTAATAAGTCATTTAAAATTTTCTAGAATCGGTTAAATACTTAGTAGGTAGTTATACATTACCGTAAAATAGCGGTATGAGGATTAAGACCATTGGCTAAATAAATTAAGTTAATAATAATACCCTCTTGGATAACGTTAAATATTATTATATCTAAATACAGAAATTTAGGCGATTAAAAATAACAAATATATAATCCTTTTGTGGAAAAAGTGTGCTTGCAACACTAATGCTCTCAGAATAGCGAAAAAAATAGAAAAATATTAGTGCCCGTGGTGTGGTGAACGTTTATCGTTCGTGAATGTACAAACTTCACAATCTCAAAACATTGCTAATATGTGACTCTAGACATGGGAAAAACGTATCATTGAAAAGAAAAGATTGATATGTATCTTTTGATCACTGGGATATGTATCACTCATTTGTATCTTTATATCCTTTCGAATCCGCGAGTGACATTGTACTGTTGCTCAGAGTGACTCGCTTTGTTCAATTCAATCCAATGTATCACTAAATCAGTACGAACGAACTACGAGTGATAGATTCGTTTAAGAACGTTACGTATTTATTTTTCCTGACTTATTAAACTAGGTACTCGTTTCGTTTCTTTGCTCCCTTCCCCCGGCACTAGCCCTACTTATGCACCGCACAGTACCTACGTTAGTTTATTATTCAAATGAAATATAAACAATCTTAGCACTAGTTTTACAAGAAAAACTGTTTGAAAAATAGCATGACATAATTAACTGGATTTAGATTAATATTGCTGGTCAGATGGTATAGTTCTATTTTTAAATCCATTTAAAGTACCTATGAACGTAGAGTTGAGATTGTTTACATTTTTTAACCGACTTCAAAAAAAGGAGGAGGTTCTCAATTCGATTGTATTTTTTTTTTTTATTTTTTTTTTATGTTTGTTACCTCAGAACTCCGTCGTTTATGGACGGATTTGCAAATTTTTTTTTTATGATTGAAAGGATATGCTTCCAGATTGGTCCCATTCTTTTCAAAATCGAGTTTTGATGATGGGATCCATGAGAAATCGAGGGAACTCCTCAAATATTATAGGTAACTATATAGTAATTTTAATATTTTCATAGAGCACTCAAGCATTTACAGTCAAAAAGTAATATTTGATGAGGTGGAACTGGTGAATAAAATCAGAAATGGGTGATGAAACTTGACACTCGCATAGATATCACAATCAATGTAGTTAAGCAACTATGAAAATGCGCTATAAACCAATGATCTTAAATAATTATGTTGGAAATGACGAACTGATCTAATGATGATGATGGAGCTGCACGCACCCTGTGTGTTTTTGGATAACCAATCAGTTAGGGTTTGGGGGCGGAGTTTGACCTAGTATTGGCTATTTTGCATTAGTCCACGTGGACTGCGTTTACACATTAGTGGCGAAATGAGTCATAGTGTTCTTATCGTTTTTTCTGGTAATAATAATACTAAGAGAATTCATTGGAATTTTTAACAAAACAGTAATTTTAAATGGGTTACAAAACAAAACAATAAATGCATCTCTTTTGTGTGCACGTATGTGTTTCATAATAATACCTAAAAAAGGTTCATACATTGAATGAGTCATAAATTTACAATAGCGGTGGTCTTTTGTATTTTACCGACTTGTCTATATATGAATGTTCTTAGTAATAAAAAAAGGTTTCTACGTTTTATGGGTTACAATGGATACAAAACACGCATGTGTTTAATAATAATACCTAAAAGGTTCATACATTGAAAGAGTCATAAATTTACAATAGCGGTGGTCTTTTGTATTTTACCGACTTATATATATATGAATGTTCTTAGAAATAAAAAAGGTTTCTACATTTTATGGGTTACAATTGATACAAATCATGTATGTGTTTAAGGAGCTTATTTTTTGAGTCGGTGCCAGCCTGGGCAAGGAAATACGAATGGGCAACAATCCCTTGAAAAACTACCTCTAACTTAATTATAAAACTACTTAAGTAATACCTATTTGCTATATAATCAAATATATATTAATTAAGACATGAAAACAGATTAGACTTCTCTAAAAAAATACCCGATTTGCATTTTTTTTAAATAAAATATATATGCTTACAAAACTTCTACCACTTTTTAAGTACATTCAAAATGTTTAAAGATTGTGTACAAAAAATGGCACCGGATATTAAAAAGTTAACTAACATTAAGTTTCAACAACAAAAATGCTGGCACCGACTCCAAAAATAAGTAATAAGTAAATTTTGAATATTTGCAAAATATCAATGTCAAATAAGTTTACCTATAAATTAAGTTTCCTTACAGCAATTCCAATTTTTATTTTTTACTTTTTAGTGTAAGAGCTTTTATCGTCTGACTTTTTTTGAAGGCGGTTTTTTTTTGTAAAAATTTTTTTTTATCTGTAATGACGACGGACATTAGGTAGGTACATTCTTATGCTTTTAAAATAAAACTGTTATTTAATATTACAAATAAACACTCCTTTACCTAATAGTATACCTACAGAAGAATAATAATTTAACGAATGTAAGATTCGTAGTGAAGATATGTTTTTATTTATAGAAAATGGATAGACTACTGATTTACCTTCATACTTTTCCAGGCTTAGGACTGGCAACCTATCTTCGTAAAGTTATGTAATGTTGTTTAGTTATCGTAGAAGTTAGTTATAGTAGTGCGTAACTAATTAGGTATTCTTCCTAATTAGTTGCATTTGTTACTTAAATATGAAATTCTAGGTTGGCGTATTTATAAATCAGTGGCTATGTACAATGATTTTTTGATTACTAATCACATTATTTACATTAATATAGGTAAATACATACACCTGAGTACTTATTCATTAGAGTTGCAACTTATGAAAAGAAGTTGTGACACTTTCTTTGTTGTCAACCGTCTTCTGCGTTCGTTGAGCGTATATCCCGCTTTAGAAAATATCCTCTCACAAGGAACAGAGGTTGCCACAAGGTTGTGCCTTTTCATGATGTAATTGAAGAGTAAAGGGTAAATGTTTTTTCGAGCGTGCCACCATTTTAATGGGTCTTCGGTACGTTTTATTAGCGGCTCGTGTAGATATTTATCTAATTCCACTATTCCTGCTGCCGTTGGGTTGTCAGGTGTTTGCCTCACTACTTCTTGGTCAAACTCAAACCAAATCGAGTTGCTAGGGCCAGGTTGGGATTGCACTGCTTCTACCGCCGGCGTTGTAGTAGTCTTTGAGGAGGAGCTTCTTCCAATTTTAAGTTTGAGGTCTTTTAAGGCCCGATCATAAAGTTTGGGGTCTTGAAATCCCTTGTTTTTAAAACGTGGATCCAGAATTGTAGATTCCGCGTTTAATATATTTGATTCTATGTAACCGAATCTCTGGTTCAGTTCCTTGTGTAAATGTAGAACAATGTTTCTAATTTCTTGAATGTTACTTTGCTCTTGAAGCCTACCTTTAATGTGACTTAGCATTATCCTACACAACGGAATTACCTTAGACAAGGTAACATTTTTCTCGCCGCTGACTTCAACTGTCACGTCATAAAAAAGTTTCAAAATGGGGAGCACAGATTCTATGACTACCCAGTCATGATCAGAGAGTGCGAGGTCTGGTCTGATGAGGGCTATAGTTGATATTATAGCATCTTTTGTTTGGATAAACCGATGCAGCATGTCGTAGGTAGAATTCCACCTGGTGGCGACATCTTGTTTTAATTTTAAAGTTGGTAGGCTGAGTCGTTTCTGCATTGATACTAACTTCTCGTTTGCTTGGGAACTTCGTTTGAAAAACTCGACGACGCTTTTAACTTTAGTCAGTGCAGGGGTTAGGTGCTGTAATGCCGACTGGACGCAAAGGTTCAAAGTGTGGGCAAAGCAAGGAATTTGCCGCCAGTCACCCTCTCTTATAGCTGCTGTAATATTGGCAGCATTATCGCTGGCGATTGCGGTAATTTTATTCTCAATATGCCATTCCCGCATGATATTTTTCAAAAATTCTGTTAGGTTTTCGCTGGTGTGCCGTTCATTAAACTCCACACATCCCAGTAAATTTGACTGTAATTTTGTGGCCTCTGATGTAGACAGAATATAATGAGCTGTAACAGCTAAGTAACTTTGGTTGTTATCTGATGTCCAACCGTCAGTCGTGAGGCAGACTGCGTTGGCATTTTCCATATTGTGCCTCACCTTTTCTTCTTGCTTTGTGCACATTTTGGGAATAAGAGATTGCGACAGAGTTTTTCTTGTTGGCAGTTTGTACCCTGGATTCAGCATATATACAAATTTTTTAAATTCTTCGTCCTCCACCAGACTGAAGGGATAATATCCATTAGCAATCAAGCGCACAAGTTGCTCATCTAAAAGCTCAGCACGCCGAGGCGGCATGGATTTAGTGCTGTGCGCATAATCCCTGATAGACGGCTGATAAGGAGGTAGTAACCCAACGGAGGATGAGCCGGGGGCAGGGGCTTTGGACGTGCCAGATTCTGTCGCAGTTGACGTTGGCACAAGTGTCTCCTGCGGGGTCTCAGGTGTCTGCTGCGTTGGTTGCCTGTCAGTAACGAGTGGTACTGTGGGGTGTTTATTTTTTAAATGCCTACCCAGGTTGCCACAATTTCCAGCCGGTACGGAGAGAATGTTAGCGCAATATAGGCATTTTGCCTTTTTGGGTTCCACTTCCTCAAAATGGTTCCAGACTGCACTCCGTTTTCGTAAACCGGACATTTTATGTAGGTATTATTAACACTAACTAAATAAACTAAATGTTTTTAACACTAACTGTACAAATTTATTTACACTTAAACTAAAGTACCATGGGTCCATTAAAAAAGTTTAGTCCACTAAAATTATTAACACTAATAAATTGTCGATGCAACGAAAATAAAACAATAGGTACCTATCCTAACACTTCACGTATTTTTAACACTAACTGTACAAATTTATTTACACTTAGTACCATTAGTCCATATAAAAAAAGTTTAGTCCACTAAAATTATTTACACTAATTGCCAATGCAACGAAAATAAAACAATAGGTACCTATCCTATCACTTCGCGTAGGTATTCCCGATTCCCGATCCCGTACGATAACGCACGGACGCGGACGCAGGTCAGCCTTGAACTAACTAAATAAATAAATATTGCATTTATTTTGTAAATCGCAAAATCATTTTTTTACCTTTCTTTTCTATCTTGATCCTAAAAGCAATAACTTTATGACCGAAATTAGTTTGCATTGTTTACTAAAACCAACTAGACAAAGTACTTTACAAAAGAAAACCAGTTTAATACTTGCAATGTTCACATACCGCATTACGACTTTAAGCCCTACGCACCAGTAATAGAGATCCTTTTGTACTGACGTATATCAGTTTATAATGGTCAAACACTTATTTTGGGTAGCGAGAAAGTGCGACAGAACATTCTAAGTAGTGAGGTGCGAAAGAGATGTCTAGATTTTCCGATGAGACACCGTGACGCCAGCCGCTCAACGCTGTGTCCGAGAACGACACAGATACAAAATGACAACGATTGAATGAGTTGTTAAAGATATAAATGATACACTGATACATTCAGATTTGAACTGATACAAAGAGTGAGTGATCAGAACGGAAAGATACATATCATTTTTATCTATCACTCCTGACTTACCCATCTCTATGTGACTCATTATAGCTTCATTGTCAAGCCATCAATATTAAAAAATAATGTCAAGAAATATAGTTTTTGAAGGGTGGTTAACAAAGTCTCCACCAAACAGGCGTATTTGGCGAACGGTGAGCTCAACTTTAGCTTGGCATTTTGCTTTTGTTGACAGAGTAAGTGGATATCGAGTTGGACTAAACACGCTGAGATAAACTCCCAGCTGCAGTTTTGTTTAGCTATTTGCAAGAGTCAACTTAGTCAATTTGTTTAGTTTCGTTTTTGTACTACAGAGATGGCGCAGACGCTGGTTTGCCTTGCGGCAATCTGGCGAGCTCCCTGGCCAGTATTTTTTAGATTACTATGCCGATCGGAACTGCCGTCGTCTCAAGGGCACAATCGATCTGGACCTTTGTGAACAAGTAAGTGCACAAAAGTGAATGTAAATAACTATTTATATTGTTATCTCTAACAAAGTATCATAGTAGATAGTCACAAGTGGATTTAGAGGTTTATAACTAATAGAAATTGAATTAATTTGCTTTACTTTTGTTTCCTAACATCTGTATTATCTATGACATTTCTGTTAGTTGAAAAAATACAGTGCATGGTGGCAGTAATGTGTATAAGTCATATTATTTGCAATCTAAAAAGGTGACCATTAACTGTCGGTAAACAAGATTTAGGTAGATGAAGTAAGTTGTTACTGTACTGATACTATTGCCTGAATAAGATGTCTTATATACATTGATACTTATTAAAAAATGTTTTTACAAAGAGGCTACACAGTCAACATTACAATGTAAGCCGGATGAGTTCGGTATTTTCAATCGACAGCTCTGAGGATAGTAACTTTTAGCCTCTAGGTTCAAACTTAACTATCAAGTTCCTATACAAAATCAATAAAGTAAAAAAAAACTATTTCATTACAATCTAAAAACACATGATGGATTTTATAAGCTAAATATTACTAGCAAGGCAATCCTACACAATAGTTAGTTACTAACTCATTAAAATAATACCCTTAATATTATTTGTTGTAATATTTGGATACCTACAATGGACTAATTCATAACATTTATTTTCTTAATGTCAGGTACAAATACATAACTACTGTGAACTTAGAATTTGAGATATTCAACAGATTCTCACACAGTTTCAGCTCGCTGATGAAAGAAATTCAATATTGTTTCTGCTGAATTTGATGACATGTATAATTTTCAACATAATCCTAGAGATGAGTTCTCACAGTGCTAACAATGATTCAGCACCCTCTTATTGTAAATTATGCTTAGCTTGCAGTGCTGCATAAAATGTTATTGTTAATTTTCTTGATAATTGTTTTGCTGATGCCTCTCAAAACATGCAAGTCAGTATCTGTACCAGTGCAAGTGACCAAATAGGCAGTTATCAATAACTAGGTTAGTCATAGCTATTCTGTTATAAGAGCAAAATTAACAATCATTTCAAGGTAGAACTATATTAGTGTGAGCGACTAATCTCTTGCTTGATTAAATAACTGATTTTGGTGTGCAACTGATGTTTTGGTGATTGGTAAATATGACAAATTATATTATTCAGATTTTTGTCAATAATTGGATTTTATTCTCACTGATGACTACCTTATTTTTTTTTAATATTGTTTCTAATAACACCTTATATTTGTGTGTTCAATTTATGTACAGTTTTCCTTTAATAATAAAACTTTTCCTTTGCTATACAAGTTATGCTTGTATCATTTAGCTAACATCATTCAAGTCTTTAAAGAATCCTTCTGATATTAAATCTAAATAAAGAAACAAAAATTGAATTCTTTAGAGATTAAGAAGAAGAAACAGAAATTAAATTCTTTAGAAATTAATAGTTAAAAGATTTGAAATTAAATTTGCTTTTAACTAAAATTCATATTGTGTATTGAAAATATAAACTTCAACAACTAACATTGTAATTAAATTTTAAACAGTAAAGTTTTTAAACTGTACTTAGCTGTCACACTGCAGTTTATAAACAGATTCATTGTTAGACAGACATTTTTTATACCATATTCTATTATTCAATTATTGCAAAAATCGAGATCTATTTTTATGAAATTATTACCTTATATTTTTATGATTTTGAATATCAGTTCATTATACTTAATTAATAAATATGAATAATTGTAAAAAAAAATTTGCTGCTACAGTTTAATAGTTAGGACAAGGTTGGTATATAATATCATTTTATGTGTTTTCCTTAGTGTACTTGTAATATTTATGCTATGAGAGCTGTAATGAATAGCAATCGTGAATTCTTTTAGTTGTTTCTGAGTAGAATTTTAGACCTTAGAATCTCTTCCAGGTACATTTATCATGGCATTAACACAGGCTAACTTACAAAGGTAGGATTTTAGTTACATGTTGTTTATAATAATAGGTCGATGCTGGTCTTCATATGGAACGGCACGGACAAGCTCCTTTCAACCCTAGTATCCGAGGATCTGTCTTCACAATCCAAACTCAGCGAAGAACATATCACTTAGAGGCTGATTGTGAAGCAGAGATGGAGAAGTGGGTAGATGCAATTTGTCGGGTCTGTGGCCTTCGTGCTACCCTCGATGTTCCTGCTGGTGCTTCCAGACATAATAATGTCATTGGTATGTCATTTATCATCTTTTCAACATTTAAACATTTCATGGTTGTGGTGTTACTTATAAGTTTATTACATACATATTTATTTATTGCAAAGCGAATAATATTTCTTCGTGTATTATGTTACTATTTCATATCCATTGACTAACTACCACTAACATTGTTAATGAGAGTTGTGCCAAACAGTATTGTAGACAACATATGGAACGCTTAAAATGGAATAAAATCCTACTAATTTCTAAATAGTGTTATTTACATTTACTCTTTTTATTGTAGTTCAAGTAAACATAACAGTCTATGACTAGTTTTTTTTATTAATTTACCCAGAGACAATTTGTTGGTGCATGGGTGGCCAACTGTATTGAGGCACCGCGGCCTCGGCCCAGAGAAAGAACGGGGTGGTTTTTACTCAGTAAGGAGTCTGACACTCCGCCTGACCCTGGGCGGGAGAAGTCATTTGATGATTTTCCCCTCACAAAAAGGGTGGCCAACTATCCCAAGACTACAGACTCATTAAAGTTTTAAATAAAATTATGCAACTCAGTGCTTTAGTGCCTATTTCATAAATTAGTTTCTTATGGCTAAGCTAAACAGTCACATGGTCTGCGCGATGCATCAAAACATTGTCCTATTAAAAGAAATTAATAATAAACAGCAGTAGAACACAGTCTTAAGAAGATTTATATTTTTATAACTTTTACTAATTTGTTGAGAGAATTTTCTGAACGTTTTCGAATGTATCTTTTATTATTTGCTTTGCTCTTTTTGAATAAAATAAAAGTGGGGAATGACAAGTCGATGGTGATTATTCGTGGACGATCAGTTGGCCACCCATGTGCTGAGCGACATTCAGAATACCACGGCGAATGAATTTATTCTATAGAAACTTCAAATAATATAATTTTGTAGTTGCTATTCCTCTTAAAACAAGATTCCAGATTAATTAAACATTTATTTTGTCTCAGACCACATGATTTCTGAAAGGAACTACAAATCAGGTCGTAAATAAAGGTAAAAAGTAATATTTAATAGAAGAATATGTTCTTCTCGAAGTTTGGGAATGTTAATTCTAGTTCCATCATGTCTCGTGTAGTAATTAGTTTTATTTATGTAATGCAAGTTATGAAAAAAATCAAATCTAGTTTTAATTTAAAATTGCTGAAAATTTAAATGTAAAAATGCAGTGTGCAAAAATCAGCTTTCGATGTGTATTATAAAAAAAACTGATGGCCGAATATGCTGAAGCACTTAATCAATTTGGAAAATTGCAAAAGTGCGATTTTATTGTGTTTTGTACTGCTTTAAGCTGATGCATCTCAAATGAATATTGCGCAAATACGTAAAGCGAATGAGCTGTTTTTATTTTTATTTTCAGAACACTTCAATTATTCGGCCATCAGCGATTGTGATGTTACGCAATTTGTTTAAAATTTAACAATATAAAATCTCTGTAAATTATCTGCTATCCGTATATCCGTTGATTCGATTAATTGAATATGTCAGCGAAGCAATTGAATGAAAAAAAAGTAAAATCATTTTCCAAAGTAACCTTAACATATTAAAATCAAGTCAGGTGTCCTTAGAAGTTTGGATCAAACTGAGGCATAGATTCAACCAGCTGGACTTGCGGGTTGAACGGAATAATGTGCCGTGACCCCGCCCTGGCGTAGAGGTAGCAACCTGGTGGCTCTTAGTTATGGCGAGAGACCTTAATTGGTGAATATCCTTCTCAAAAAATGTCATAGTGTCATTAGCCCTGAGAGTATTGGTGCTATTTTGACGGATCAAAAGCGAAGCGCTATTTGGTTTTGTTCAATCATTATTCATAATTTTAACAACGATTCTAAAAAGTATCAGAATTATTAATGATTTTCTTTAAATACATGGTGGCGGTGTGCCCTGCTTGGGCTGAGCTTCGCCATATTCTCAGGGAAGTGATCGGCGGCGGCGAGCTCTTGCGTCCGGCCTTAGTAGAAGTGAGAGGAATTGGAAAAAGCAGTGATACTCGCAAAGGAGGGGGCGGAGCGCCTGAGGGAACTATTCTCCTCACGCCCCAGCCTCCTCAAACCTAACCGTAAGGGTAGCTCGCCGCCCGATTAGAACCAGACCCGAGTGTATGGTGCGCATCGCGTTCTGCGCGCGCATCATTCACTCTCATAAATAGACCACCACAGACGAGGCCCTATAGGGCTGATGTTCAGCCGGGGATGCGGGGCAAGCGCAATAAGTCACCGCGCCCTCGACCTAAAGCAGGAAAAGGAACGGGGGCTTTTTAGACGGTAAGATGAGCGGAAGAAGTCATTTGGTGATTTCCCGTCACAAAAATCAGAACCTGCAAAAAAGTCTTTAAATAAATTATGAAATAAATACAATTAAATATTGGAAATAGAGCAAATACTTAAAGAAAATACAAAATAATAATTAGAACTTTTGAATCCTTTATGTAAAATAAGCCACCTACATTCTCAGGGATAATAATGTGTGTGTAATAGTGTGTATGTTAAAAATGACTATCCTCATGATTCAGACTTCTAGGCGACTGGCATAGATGCAGTCTTATTACCGAAATTATTATTCTATTCTAATCTAAAACTTTTAGATTAGGCTTTTAAGATAATATATGGCTTAATAGGCCTATTAAATTTCTGTTGAAAACTTAAATCGATAAGTATTAGTACATGATGGTACAAGTGTGTAATGTTTGGTGATTGCCGCTGAGGTGCGATTGAGGTGCGAGCCATCAGGCGAGGGTCTTAAGGAGCCGAGGACGGTAACAATCGATAACACACGTGTATTATACAACGCGTTTCAAAACACTTCTGAATAAAATACTTATTAAATAAATAAAAACAAAACCATTTTAAAAATAGTCGTACTGGCGGGTAAAATAATTCAGTTTCTTTTCTATGCGCGCGCATTGGCCATAGACTAAATAAAGAGGTTTCTTTTTTATGCTTTACGCGGATAGCATTTTTGCGCAAGTGTAAACTTAATTCAAACAATAATATTATTTAAAAAAAACTAACACCCTCTCGTGAATAATAGCAGTGAAAAAGTCACATTTGGATTTATTGTGGTCATTATTCAACATTTAACATGAAGTAAATCGGGACATGAGTTTTGCACGACGTTAACATTAAAAATTGTTTTTAGAAAAAATATTGTTTAGTATGTTCTGGGTTGTCGGTTTATTCAACCTAGATACTTGAAAGGGTTACTCTTAATGCATCTAGGTCGATTAACTTGTAACTTGTATTTGAATGAAAACTTCTTCAAGAAACCATAATAAAGCTGATAAAGTTTTAAAGAAACACTTTTTATGCATTTGTTTTAATTAGCTTTCAAGAAGTTTCAGTCACAAATAGTAACAGAAAACTGATTTTAAAATAAGTTAGGTTCAAGATTTCATACCGAAAAAAAGAAATCGTAGAAAGCCCCGTTATTTTTTTACATTTGTATAAAAGTATTGAATTTGACTAGTTGGAAACTATCGTATTGTTTTGTTTTGTAATGAAAATGCTATAGGTAGGAAGGAATGCATTACCACGCTTCAGACTCAAGGGGACCATGGTTAGATTAACAAAAAGCTTAGTCCTTACATCCACTAACATTATGCTATCGGGTATTAGAAAAATTAAATTGTTTTAAAGGCTACATTTATCATGCTAGAAATTTATGAATTTTACGAACCGTCAAAAACGGATGGTTCCATTAAAAGTTGCTAGCCATCCCATTTCTAAATCTGGTAAGCTCTGGGCTCCCACACACAACACAACCACCCAATACCTCTGAGAATTATTATGATATCTAATATTTAGTTTTGACTTTTTTACTTTGACGTAACATTTATTGTCGTCACGTCCACTTATTATTTCTAAGTATCAATTTTGTTTTGACTTCATACCCACGTAAATTGGTGATGAGGTGACCCAACATCACAGTCGACATCTTAACATCGACACAATAAAACGTCTTCAGTCTTCAAACAATATAACTTATCAGACACACCGACCAGTGTTGTACTGTCTTTAATACTTTACGTGAGTGATTAGTGGTGTCACCAAAGTGTGTACACGGTTATTATTTTTATGTTTTATATCTAAATATTTATCGGTCGCGTGTTTTCACGCATGGTATTATGGTTTGCTTTTAGACTATTTAGTTTATAGTTTTATTTAAATTATTTCACATTTTTATGATATGAATACTCGTATGTCATATTGGAATAATAATAAAATCATCGCTTTTCAGATCCAAGCAGTGTCCACTCGACCAATATGAGTGACAATAGCGAGTGCCCCGATGGTACGGGTCCTTACATACCCATCTCCGAGTGCATCACGGGTGTCCGTGCTCAGGTGAGCTCCAATTGCTTTGACTTGTTGTTGAATTTTTATATTGTTCTCGAAATGTCCTAGTAGTGTAATCATCAAAAGTCCCCTTCGAGAGAATGTGTCTGAAAATAGACCTACATAGGTATTCAATACCAGCGCCCTATTTGCGCTACGGTGCAATTGTTACACTCGTTTATCGTTATAGTACCTACTGCATCTTCCCCACTTGAGTCTCAAGATTTGATCTGCGTACTGTAGTTTACGATGTTTACATGTAAGATCTGTATCTTTTTGAATAATGCACGCGCCACGCACACAATTCAAAAGGATGTTGATGCAATGAAGTTACTGCAAATTTTCATAACATTTCAATTTGTAATCATGCTAATGTCAGGGGTGAGGCTGAGGTAGGTACACGCGTCCATATATGCACTAATGGAGATGGTTCTAGATTTAACAAGCTCATGTTCACAAAAATTCAGGTACGAGTCCTCCAAATTGTTTCTACAGAATTTTCACAGTAAAATCTGTCACTCTTCATAGTTGTTATCGGAAAACTGTCGTCGACAATTTGGTAGTTTTCTTAGTGAAAATAAATTATTTCGACGTTTCAATACAATAAAGTGCTTATTTAATAATGACCTACATACATTCATTGAATGTGTATCGAAAATAATGTGTATCGGCAAGATACAACTTTATTAGTTTACGAATTCTCCTTGCAAATTTTTAAGACTGAGTTGCTAGTTGACTCGTATTATAATGCCAAGTTGCGGTTTTATACACAATTTCTAGAAAAGCATCGTCTTTTTGACGTTCTGTGGACATATCACTGGTATTTCTGATAACTTCGTCTTGATTAAAATAATATGTTGAACATTTTAATTTAGTTATTTACAGTCTTACGCAGGCAGGTAAAATTCTATTATTACTCACCTTTTTCTGGCTAGGTAAGCGCGGACTCAGGCTTAAGCCAAAATCGGTGTTACTGATCATTGTAATTGTTTGAAATAATTCAATGTACAGTTATCGATTTTTGAGTTTGAAATTAAAATAAAGTTGCAATGGCAGTCCGCTCCCCACTGGTGTAAAATTGGCAACATCGTAACCAAGGCGCGCGGAAAATCCAGGAAAGCTTCGAACCACTAAAATTCAGAATATATAACTTCAATTTCTGAAATGGACGTGTAATTAAAAGTTGTAATTGCGAATGTGCGCTAGTTATACTTTTGCCTGTGCAAGGTATTGCGCGTGTTTTTTGAAGTTCGTATGAAACAGGGCAGAGTTTTTGCTTCCTTTTTAGTCTCTATGAGATTTTTAAATTTCATACAGACAACAAAAAGCGGGTGGTATACTCATTAAAAAGAAAATTAAAATTTGCTCTACATTATATTCTTTCAAAGAGTCAGGAGTTGCAGTAACCGCATGTTTAAAAGTGTGCGTGAGACGAGTTTATGTCAAGTTAAAACTGAGCTGGCCCAACCGATCGATGATGATGATGATGGACTTCTGTATTATTAATACACTCGGCCTTCGTGCACCAGTCACGTAAACGGCAATACCATTGAACTTGCAAGCAAAGTCACGATTGTTATACAAACTTCTCCGACCTTCTATGTAGACTCAAATAACTAAACAACGCATTTGTCGCTCTCCTGGAGTGGCGGGAAGCCTTGGACAGCGCCAATGATTTATTTACCATCAGGTTATCCTGTTTCTTCTAGTTTTCTTACATACAATTCTACAGAATACTGGTGTTAGCTTTAGGATAATGTTTCAATTGGTTAATAAAGGAATGTTGATTCCTTGCAAGGGAAATGTTTGAGTCAACTTAATCGATTGAGTCTAGAATTTTGCCTAATTTGATTCAACCAAATCAATAATAAGGATATTTTAAGTTTCAACGCCATGTAACGTTAATTGATAATGGATGCAGAAAACACTAAAATCGTCTATACCACTTTACTAGGTGAGACCCAAGGAATTAAGAGTTGGACCAATCAGGACTATAGACGCTTTATGACCATGACAGCCAATCTGGAAACCTTGACTACTGCGTAGGTCCTGTATAGTATGAGTAAATGCGCAATACTGATGCATTCTCTGTTCCTAAAATTTTTATTTCGACGAAACGATAATACTACGTACTCGTTCTGGGGTTCTTACATAAAATAAAGCGAATTTACACGCCTTTAATTACTCTTAATTATGTTGTTATTGAGAAAAATCTACTATAAAATACTTTTTGAATCGTTGACTTAGGAAACGGCTAAGGGTCGAAATTAATGATTGAAATCTATTCAACATTAGTAAGTAGTAGTAACACATAAGAAATGTTAGTTGAACAATTTTAAACTACCTTATTTTTTTTTAAAGTAAACAGATTTATCGATGGTTTGCAACTTACGTCACGATATCGATTTACAGACTCAAATGACTAAAACGGCCAAGTAAATGTACAACTTAGATCGTTCCTATATTTAAAATTGTATCGAACGCTTAGTCAATTGCTAATGTAAGTTAATCTGGATGCTTGTTTGTTGATTTCCACGTAAGTACATTGATATTCGAACGGGTGGTAGTAGTGCTACACATTATACGCGATGTCTAATGAAAAAGGACAAATGCTGCTAAAATGAGTTTTCTCTGGTAACAATTTTGCATTACCGTGTCTACTTCAAGTTCATTCTAGATTGTGACGTGTTACACATGTTAAACATTTTCATTTTAATACTAAAGGAATTTATCCCTAATAAAAAGGCATTTATTTTCATCTGTGCAGCCTGGCCTCTCGGCGTTGTACTCTCCTTGACCTGACAATTACGAACGCAGCGAAAGAAAATACAGTTGTATCGGTTAAATCGTCCTTCAGATATACAAATTACTATTGATGTTTGTGCATATAAATATTTACTTGCATTAAGCCTTTTTCTTGGGGAAATTGAAGGTGTATTTTTTTTTAATATAATATATGGGTACGAGAGCAGACGGATCTCCTGTTCGTAAGCAACGAACACTCACAATACCGAATTACCGAACGAGTTACACGTGCATTGCCGGCCTTGTGGATTGTTGAGGATTGGGAATTTGGGGTTTGGGGTGGAAGGAGGATTGGGCCTTCGGTAACCTCACTCACTCAAGCCGGTATCCTGTTAGGCCGTGGTATCATTCTATCGGTTTATTCGACTCCCACATATGGTAGTAAATAAATTTCCCACTTAAGTAATCATTACGGGAAATCTTCGTGCAGCAGCAAATGAAGGACGTTGCTTTTATAACATTTTAATTTCAACCGCAATTACAGGAATTTTGTTTGTATTAAAGATTTTTCCTCTAAAGTGTAGCTTTAGCCCTAAGGTTTAGGCCCCTGCTAGTTAGGGAACCTCTTTTTTTGTGAGGGGAAAATCATCAAATGACTTCTTCCGCCCAGGGCCGGGCCGGAGGGAGTGTCAGACTCTTATTGACTAAAAACCCCCCTGTTCCTTCTTGTGCTCTGGGCCGAGGTCGCGGTGCCTCATTGCGCTTACCCCGCAACCCCGCAACCCCGGCTAAACATCAGCCCTATAGGGCCCCGTCTGAGGTGGTCCATTGGCTCTTTGAGGCGCGCGCGGTACGCTACGCGTCATACCCTCGGGTCTGCTTCTGGTCGGGCGGCGACGCGCGACGCCCGGAATGTCGATAACTGCGGCGGCTGGGCGCGAAGAGGATATTTCCCTCATGCGCTCCGCCTCCTCTTTTGCGAGCATTACTACTTCGCAGAAAGAGCAGACGGCTTCCAAGTTCCTCTCGCTACGAACCATGGCCTCGACTAAGGCTGGGCGCGAGAAGTCGCCGCCGCCGATCACTTCCACGAGGACACGGCGGCGCTCAGCCCAGGCAGGGCACACCGCCACCGAATGCTCCACCATGTCCTCTAGGTGGTCCTCACAATGACGACACTCTGGCGTTTCCTCCCGTTGAATCCGAAACAGAAACCTACCGAAGCTGCCGTGCCCGGTAAGCGCCTGCGTAAGGCGTGAGGTCGCCGTGGCGTATCTCAAGCCACTCCTCAAAAGAGGGGTCTTACCGCTGCTAAAACAGCGTGCCCGGCCCTCGCTTGCGACAGTCCCTTGATCCCTGAAGTTGTAATTTCTAATTAAAAGTTGAAATCGCCAATCCGCCTTGAACAAACGTGGTGATTAATGCTCAAACCTTCTCTACGCGAGAAGAGGCCTTTGCGCTCAGCAGGGAGGCTTATGATGTTTTCTCTTAACCTCAGTGCTATATCTTAGTTTCAAGTTAGTATTAAAATAAATAAGTAAGTACATACTTAATAGAAAAAGAGTACACGGTAAAATAAAACTTTCATTATTAGACGTGTACATAATAATTTTTCGTGAATTGTAGGCGCATAAGCTCGCGGACGGTAACTAAAGCTTACCTCTACTTTCCTTTCACCTTTATGAACGAATGTACATTTATTAGAATATAATTATTTTCCCCTACATTCATAATTTAACTTGTGCTTGCATCTGTTGTTTGTTTACCACACAATCTAACTTTGGTTGAACAATTCCTATTTTATCGTCAACATTGTTAGCAGCCGCCAATTCTGGTGTTATTCTAGTTATGCAATGTAAGGGCGTGTCCTCGGTGTCCTAATAGAATGCAAATAAGCTCCAACGCGCAAATAACCACAGCAGGTTGTGATTTTCGGACCGATGTCCTTTATTTCGATTTTAAACCTATAACGTATCTACATATTATAATGACATTCTCACCTCATTAAAAAGTGTTTAACCTTGGTTTGCATAAAATGCAGCTTTGATCATGATATTGGAAACTTCTCTGCAATACTACATTTTTAGAAAACCTTTGACGAATTTCTGAGAATGTCTATACAGTACCCTTCCTAAGAGCGCCTTTTATTTGTATGTGACATTGCAATATTATTAAAATAAATCTTTCATTAGTTCTAGAATTATCTGGAATGGTCGCTGCCATTACAACAATCAATTATCAAATCCCTAATATGCACGACCGCAGCATTTCAATGATTGAGTTGGTGGTTTCGGCATTCAAACTAATCCTTTAATCCTCTAGTGGTTTTGTTGCTACTGTTATATTCAATTTATGATCGTGGATAATGGATTTTACACTGTATTGAGCCCTACATGCATATTATGGTCGGAAAAATAAGAAGTCGCTTTAACCGGTAATGTTTTCATTCCATGTTCAGTTGTGGACTTGATTGTTATATTTCAAGCTGAACTTTTATAATGCACTATAGATTAGAGAACTATATTTTCATGCAGTCCTTATTGACAAAAATAAATTTAAATCTAAAATATTGTTTGCAAAAAAGAGAGTTAGTTCCTCCTTAGATCTTAACGATATGCAACATAAAAATAAAAATGTATGAAGAAAGAGTACTTACTTATGGAAAATTTCTATGATCGTCGAAGTTAGCAAGTAGGTTGAGTAACTTATTGCTGAGGTACTTGATAGTTCAGACTATTGTAAATGAGTGCATTGGTGCAAATGCGATCTTTACGTACCTGACATAAGTACGAGTTTACTTCAAGTGTTTTGTATGAGAACAGCAATTATTTGCATCTTGTAAGTTTTTCTTGTAGTATCGTGTTATATTTTCCTTTAGTTTGTTATACTTTAGATTTTTCTTTTATTGTACATGCTCCACCTCTCTGATGCCTAAGGCGCGGCGTAGGCAGTTAATCATTTTGTAATTAATATTTACAATGTTAGATATATAACTTGTAAGTAAACAGGTATATGGTCACCTTGGTAACTAATTAGAACGTTAATAATATTGATACATGATCTTGTTTGATCGATTCTGCCTCGGGTATGGTATGGATATGTATTTGAAGGTAAAAGTGAAATAAACAATTCTAATTACCGAACCAAAATAATTGTCGAGGGTTTTTACATGGAAATGTATAAATAGTCAGTAAATGTATACAGGGAGGAGGTGGATGTTTTCATAATGTGACTTTTACATAAATGTCAGAGGTTGGGTTGGTGACATGTTAATTATAGAAGGTATATGTAGGTAGATAGTTAGGTGCATCTTAACTACGATGCGCTGTTATAGCAGCGATAAGACCGCTTTTGACCGAAGTTTGAGGCGGGGCTTGCGAGACGCCGTGCCTTGACCTTCGGCCCGACGCAGGCCCATAACGGGTACGGTAGTTTTAATAAGTTCCTGTTTCGGATCTGTCGGGAGGAAACGCCCAGGTGTCGTCATTGTTAGGACCACCCGTAAGACATAGTGGAGCATACGGCGGCAGTGTGCCCAGCTTGGACTGAGCACCGCCGCCGTATGCTCAGAAAAATGATAAGCGGTGGCGACCTCTCACGTCCGGCATTAGTTAAGGCCATGGTGCGGAGCGAGAGGAATTTGGAAGCCGTCTCATCTTTTTGGGAAGCAATGGTGCTCGCAAAGGAGGAGATGGAGTACATGAGGGTTCTCTATATCGTCCCCACGCCCCAGCCACCATCGCAGGGTCAGGCAGACAGACAGACTCAACTCCGGGCGCCAGAGATCCATCGACGATCTCCGACCATTCAACTCCGGCCACTGTACGCGCCGGTCTGCGATCGGCAAACAAGAGTAGCTCGCCGCCCTACTAAAACCAGACCCGGGTGGGTAGCGTCGTTCCGCGCGGGCCCCAAAGAACCAATAGACCACCACAGATAGGGCCAAACATGCCCAATGCTTAGCCGGGGTGCCGGGTCAAGCGCAATAAGGTACTGCGTCCTCGGCCTGGACTAGGAGAAGAAACCTTTTAGTTAGAAAGATACTGATACTCCCTCTGTCTGGGCGAGATAAGTCAATTGATGATTTTCACTCCTCAAAAGATCTGATGACCATGAGTTGCTTTTTTTAAGGTCCCATTCTAGAATGTTCCTGTTTAGAGTGACTGAAATTCAGACAAGAAGCAACTTTTTGCGAAATTTACTTTTTTAGTTGTATTGTATGCTTTTCTTGGTGGCACACACCTTTCACCCTTTTGCCGGTCAATTTTCAGATAAAAATACATTTAAAGGATTATATATGTATTTCCTTAATCACATATGATTATGATCATATTTGCACATGAAGTAATAGGAACATGTCCTTTAAGTATGGTCTGGTAATCTTACAGGATGAACAAAGACACTTTACGTTTGAGGAGCGGAACATCATAGTGAATACTCGGGGCGATGGTCATCAATATACGAGTCATCCTCAAATAAGGGTGAATGCAGAACTTTCTGAGAATGATTCGAATATGAGCGAGGACGATGACGGCTCTTTGCACGCCAGCCACCAGAATTTACGTAAGTTTTTTTTATTGTTTTTGTGATCTTGAGTCGTTTCGGAGTTAGTAAAGATTATTGCCATTTACTCTTATCATTTAATAGTACCTAAATGACCATATTCCTATAACTAGTATGTAAAATTAGTTGTTGAATTCTAATTAATTTTGTAAGCCCTTAATGGTTTTACCTTGTTTTGTCTTTCCTTCCAAATGTAACGGATTGAGTAAATGACAAATAAATACGAAAGACCTATTACCATTTTGATAAGGTATAAACAGGGTCATATATAACTTGCATTCTGAGTTTGGATAAAACGTTGTGCCAATTTTAAATATTTGGTAATAGACATGGATTTGTTGTAACATGTCGATGTTAAGGGCTCAATAATGTCATGTTATTTTTCTTTTAGCAGATTGGTCGGTGACGAAGACTTTCACTAAACTGTCTATAGCACCCAAAAGGAATGGTTCCGAGGAAGGTGAGTAAATTATCATTGTGATTACATTATACTATTATGATACAGATTACCTACTTGCCATCCTGTGGTATTGTGTGATTTTACCTTTTCATTCGGTTGCGCTTCATGTTTGATCTAGTTCTGTTATGTAAAATTAATAAGTTCTGAACTTTAATAGAAATTTGTGGTCCTAAAGAGTTCCGAAATTCCCATTTTCTAATATATGATGACATGCTTACCAAAGTATTGAATCAAGGGCTTCATCACTCTCTCAACGATTCAGTCGTCAAAACTAAACCTAGTAAAATATTTCAGGACCCCCTGTCCCGCCGCGACCACCAAAGACATTTGCTGGCAGAAGCAGGGAAACCCTGACTAAGGACCATTTCCAGGGGCCTAAAATACAGGAGCCCACCGAGGTAGCGCCGGAACCTGTAAGTACCTTGATTTGTACTAAGTTAATAAAAGAGGGTAGATTGCAGTAAACAAACTTCTTAGGTGAATGAAACCCACAGAATATGATACTGCGTGTCTCTCAAAACAGTGACCTCTGAGATGCAAATAGTTTGCATATCACTTTGCGAAAATAACAGTCCGATGTCCTAAAAGTTCGTTATATTTTTAATCAATTCTCTGACGTCAACATCTCCTGTTGTTATTCATTTAAAATTATAATTGCCCACTTCGTGTAAGATTTTGTTTTTTAAAGTTTTTATTCATGATGGCAGACGCAAGGGTCATGCGTAGTTGTTGTTCGAATCAAGATGTGGGGTTAGCGGATAATTCATCTCGTTGCTTTGAATATGGACAAAAAGGTGAAGGGCAGATGATGATTTAGAAGAAGATATATAGAAATATTTAGAGGATTAGATTATTCATTTCTACTATGATGCATTGTATGCTATTTAATTATAATATACCATTCAAAGGTACAAGGAATATGAACATACAAAGGCACACCTACCTATATAAATAAATTTGTATGTATTACATGGTGTCACACTGATAAATGTCCGTTTACATACCACTAATGTCTTCTAGAAATTCCCATAAAGTCAATTAGTGATATAATACTTTTAATCGAGTGCATCTATCATCGAATGCAGGCGTGCCGTTGGTAATCGATTTAATCGATTATTCAGACTTATAAATATCCACAAGTGATCAAATATATGAACGTAATGGAAGCTAAATAGTACGTTAAGATCGTACTAGATGGCGCTATGTAGTTTTAGCTTATGCCTATTGGTCAAAAGCTTGACTTTAATTATACATGTAGAAGATTTCCGGTGTTGTATGAAATGGAAATTCCGAGTATTCATGAAGATTTTTTAAGATGGTAAGTGGTATGAGCCATGTCGTACAGAAGCTACTCGTAACAGAGAATTAATATCAAAAGATAGGGATATCCCAAAATCTTTAACGTTCTTGTAAGTCAATGTGAATCCCGAACATAATGATTTTTTAAATTCTTTTACAATACACTATTCTTTTATAATATTCTCCTGATAATAACAAAGATATCAAAAAAGAACTGGTAATTGTTGTCCAGGCGTTGTTGAGTATGTATTTACCAACACATTTTGCGTTTATTGCTATATTATACATAATAATATATATAATACCTATGTAAGGGTTTTATGATGCTACATGGTAAACAGCATTGAACTTAACATCTTTGTAAAATTAAAACTTGACCTAACATCAACATCAGCCTGATTTCATCCACTGCTGGACATAGGCGTTCCTAATTGCACGCCATTGAGCTCTACTCATCCAACTACTGCCCGCCACCCTGTGGATATCGTCAATCCTCCTACCTGGAGGGCGCCCTACACTACGTTTGCCTAGACGTGGTCTCCACTGTAGAACACGTCTACTTCAACGGTCATCGGTTCTTCGACAAATTTGTCCTTCTCACTGTCACTTCAGTTTTGCTAATCCTTTGGCTATGTCGATAACTTTAGTTCTCTGTCGGATCACCTCGCTTCTTCAGAGAGACTCCAGCAATAGCCCTTTACTTGGCTTAACACAGAAGAAATATTATTAGTTGTATTGTAAATAATAGACTCTTTTTGGTTTTTCATCAAGTTGCATTTTTTTTTGCAAGCGATGTATAATGCGATTATTGCAGGAAATTGTAAGAAAATGTTATGTATAAAGTAATATTTATGTTTTTCTTTGTATTGTTACGACAGCCGACTCACCAGCGGTTACGAGTACCCCGTCGCATGTCGCAGGGCGCTCCGTCCTCTCCGCGTTCGCTCCTCAATGCTCGCTGCCCCGAAGAAGAAGAAGATTTCTCCCCAGTACAAGCTGTAAGTATACTTAAACTATTTTTTTTCTCATAACATAATATTAACCAGATATTCCACTAAAGGGTAGGGGTAGAACATCTATTCGATGGTATATCTAAGCTGCTGTTACATAGTGAAATAATAACTACTATTACTAATAATCAACATGCCATAATACCAAATAGATTTTTTTTCAAGACGTTTCGTATGGTGAAAATCGAGCAAGAAACTCCATTAATATTAAATAACTCGTTTTACAATCTACTTGATTTACGATAGATTGTATTATTAATAATTATTATACGTCGGCAAACGAGCAGAAACATTACCTGATGGTAAGTATCGCCGACGGACAGTCGCAACACCAAAGGAGTAACGAGCGCGTTGCCGACCTTTTGGAAATAAGAGTTTCGGATATTTAAGGATTGGGAAGGGATGGGGAGACTGGAAAGGATTAGGCCTCTAGAAACATCACACAGTCGGTGAACACAACGCTGTGGTTGTTTCACGCTGGTTTTCTTTGAGGTCGTGGTATCGAGCCGGCCCATTCGTTCCGAAGCTTGCTTTCCCACACTTAAATATTATATTGTATAGTAATAATTCATATTTTCCACAGTCGATGCAGTACTGCAACCTCCCTAGCTTGCCGCCGGCAGTAGACAGAGCGCTAAAGCCGCGTCACTCTAGCCATAGCATAGGACAGTACAACTCATACGTGGGCCAGGTATGTTCACGGCACTATATAGCATATTATGTCTATATCTTGTTGCTAACCACGTTGTCAATATCAGAGTCGCTACTAACAAAATATAGTATACTTATTAAAATATTAGTTAATAGATTCAGTTCGTATTTCAATACTTTGAATGCAACAGAGCAATGCATTGTTGCGATTTATTCTTGGATGCATTCAACTGATAACAAGAACTTGTATCTCTCTATAACATCTCTTTGAAATAGTTGCTTTTAATGGTTAAGGTTATAACCTCTGCAGCCACCACTTATGCACTATTTGAAAAGCATGACAGACAAACATTTGTTTCGTAGATAACAATCTGTTTGCATTAGATACTGCAATACAATAGAATTGTTTGACTTTGCAGGCTTATAAATATATGTGCGAAATACAATCATGTCAATTGTTCACTACAACTTCATACTGCCTCTCTACTCTGTCTTGGTACTGTCTATATATGTATGGTTTATATTTAATTTTATAATTTGTTATATATGTGTGTATATATATATATATATAGATATATATTATAATGTTAACAAAGTTTTCACTATAATTGTGTTGTGTTTATTTCCATTTTAGGAAGATGGACTTCATAATGAAGTACATCTTTACGAAACTATTAAACCGTACAGACCGTCAATACGTCGCACTAACTTTCTAAGTGCGCTAAAAAAGTTACTATCGTCATTTTTTAAGTTCAGGTTTCGGTCTGAATCTCCACGAACACCTAACTATCCTTTACCGCATAGACGTGCAGTACCAGAAGAACTATTACCCAGTGACCTGCCATCATTCCAGGCAGGGGACATACAACCGATATTATGTCTTGGCGGCACAATAGGCATACCCTCAAATAAAATAAATGGTTTAGAGATACCATCAGATGAACTGAGAGAAATTAAAATACCGTCTCACAGAGTTGGAATTATAAGCATTCCACATAATTTATTATCGAACATTGTGGTCGTTCCTCGGGAAACGGTAAATAATTTACCCACCATAGTTTCACAGTAACATAGCCAAAAAAAACCTACACTTCAAGACTCGTTATTCGTATTTTTACACTGAAATAAAAGAATACACAAATTTGGATATCTTACTGTGCTAAACAGTTAAATATGTTGGTGTTAAAATAGTTGAAAAATTAATGATGCAACGTGTAAAATTTGAGAATAATGAGATCCACAGAGTGCTTTAAGTACAATCATGAGCCGAAAACCGCTATTATATAGATGAACATGAATTGTGTTGTTTTATGTTTTACACGTTGTATAAAGGAATTATGTTCCAATCAGCATGAAGTTGGAATGCGAAACCATAGAATTCCTTTTTTAAATTATTTTATCGCCATTTGTTATTTCGATCTGTTGGCTGTGAATGAATGATATACCAATGCCTATATCTAGCTATTTTTTGCAAGACAATATTATTCCATCTTTGTATTTATGTAATTTTTTGTATTCATTTATTTGATGTTTTATTTTGCCATATTATATTATGGTGGTTTAACTTGTGTAATATGTGTATTTTATGCATTTATACCGAAGCGTTAGTTAAGTTAGATTTTTAGCAGTGTCGTGAAATCTAATTTTTTTTGCTTCTGGTGTATTGTAGCTGCACTATATTAATCCCCTGTGTACTGGGCAATGTTTTCTATATATAGTGTTGTAAAGATACGCGTTTTTTTATTAAGTATTTTTCGTTTTACAGGGTACCCTGAGAATCGGTAATGTAGATGACATCAAGCAAGACGCTCTACAATATTTGGACCTGGATTTACACCCTTCGAAACCGACACCAACGAAGGTAATTCAATAATCCTTATTAGGATTTCATCCTAACAATAAACCTTTTTACTCGGATATTCATAATGGCAACGCAAATACGCTTAAAATGTTTGTATATACAATTAAATTATGATTCCTATAAAAATATTTTAATAATAAGTAGGAGTTGAAGGAGACTCGGGGGAAGGATGTATCACAGTAAGAAGCTGGTAGTGGTCTTGACCGTACTTCCGGGATTGCTCTGACAGCCGTGGGATGCCTCTCCTTCCCCAAACAGCTCAACGTATGTTGCTCCCGTGTCGCTATATGCTAGCCCCGTTTCCGGGGGCCCATTAATTGGGTTTGCTAGTCACCCCCTGCCTTTTTATCCGTATGTATCAATATAGGTCAGGGGCAGGAGCCATTAAAAAAATACCCATAACTATAACCCTATCAAATTTTGCCACATTTCACAATAGTCCTCCATCAACCGGGGTTTGTCCTTGGGTGCATTTTTATAGTGCATACAAGGATAATTGTCGGCTGATGTCCCATCACATTTATATTAAAACTGTTCAGCGGGCCTCTGCGAGTTGGCTTTAGCTTCTCGTACGCCTTCCAAAGGTTCGGGACCCTGTAGTGCGGTGAATGGAAAGGAACATATAGTAATATTAATTGTATAAAAAAGTTAGAATTGCTGCCTTTCTAGAGACGAAGTATGGAACCTCTGTGCTTTAAGGCGTTTTCAGTTGGTTGGTCACTTTTCAATTCATACAATACATCACAATGAACTTATATTTCAGGAGCGCCCAGAGCCGCGCAATAGGTCCGAGATTTCACATGGTAAGAGCTTGTCCTCGGTTGACACAGATGCGTACAAAACCGTCGACTTCCTCAAGACTGAAGCATTCAACATCACCCGCCAGGACGCCGAAGCATCGAGGAGTTTCCAATACTAGCATCCGCCTTCTCCCAAAGCATCGAAGTCATCCTGGTTTCAATGCTTCTGTTGGGGAAAATAGACACATTATAACAAAATAACAATAGTGACGTGTTCAGTGCCCAGTGTCCAGTGGAAAGTAAAGTAAGTCGCATTTATGAAATTTGAAGAAAAAGACTTTTGAAAAGCTTTAACCGACTTTAATAAGCTTTAAAAGTTACATGATTGTTTAAGCCGGTAAGGACGGCCGAGTTCATAGAATAAAACAATATATTATATATAGCAATAAGAACAGTATTCTTGTAAATTTGTCTGTAAAGCACATCACCTTTGCATTTCAAGTAGATAGTTTTATGTTAGCTTCAATTTCTCAATACATTTTGCAATGCAGCGATATTATGTTGCAAACTATTGTAGTTCTGTCATATTTTTCTTATAATTAGGACGATGAACAGATTATTTTGTGTTCAATTAATAGGTATATACCTAATACTTTAAATATTTATTACCCACAGTTTATTTCAATATAAGTATTGTATATGTACTTAATAGCGTTAATTAATTATAATTTTCGCTTTATGCATGACACGGCTTTTTCGTTAGCGGATAAGGCAGTATATTTGATGTTACCAATATATAATTAGTACATTAATGGAAAGCATACATTACATGCTATTTAAAATGTTGTATTTAGGGCTTAAAAAAAGAGTAATCTTTAGTATGGATTGTATTTACAACTTTTATATTGGGTCCTGATGAACGAGTAAGTAATACCACTATATGCGTTTATAGGGTATATTAAATAATAAAATAGGTTCACACAAAAAATTAAATTAAAAAAGGATATACCTTATCGGCGGTAATGAAACCATAGCGCATCTCGATCCCAACGCCATGTATCGAGCCTTGGGGCAACATTTGCGCAATTTTAATTTAACTCAAGTATAAATTCTATTGATCACTTCGAGCTCAACTCGGCTTCGAGTACAACCCCGAACATACCGCCCACCAGGAACATTTTGCATAATGTCCTTCTACGCCGCCCACCGTGCACAATAAATTTGAGGCTGATGTAGTACAAATAACAAGCAAAATAATATTTTCAATAGCCAAATAAGAAATAACTACAACTTACCCATACTTCCAGGTATTAATAACAACAAATGACATTAAACTAAATCTTAATAAAGTACACTTTCTGACATTCTACAGAGCTTACAACTAATTTGCTACAGGCAATACACATGATTTAGATGTAGGTCTTCATGGTTTGCTGATTAAGTACGGATTGTGACTACACGAGTAATACCGTCTGTCCAGGGATGTTTTTGCAAGATCCTATCCAACATCCACTTGCCGGGAAGCATATTATCCTCCTGTTTCCCCTGAAACTCCTAATACTATAAAGGGGAGATTTTTTTAAATTTATCCTTTTCAAATTGTTTGAAAGTAAGATACACGACTTTATCCTTTAGTTTTCTAATTTCTGAAAATCCCAAAAATGTTTTATTACTGATACTAAAATCCATACAGTTCTTATTCAATAACAGCGATTGCATTAGTTAAAGAGATTTTCCGGTCAAATGAAGTTTCCCAGTCAAGGCTACACGGCCTTTTCTAAGATCCTTCCATTGCGGTATCTTATTAACGTCAAAGAAAGCCTTATAATCACCGTCAGACATTGATGTTGCATTAACGTGAGAAATTTTTATCTTCCTCGGTGTGTGGATCTATAAACATCCTCACAACTCGAAACTTTTCTGGAGAAAGATCGCACCCCTCCCGCAACTTCCCAATGTTTAAAACAGAAGCTCTACATTTCAAGTCGTAAAACTTCTTATGGACATCCATGACGATGACTGATGAGAATCTCCAATACTCGATTATCTCTCTAGCACTGTTCCAAATTACACCGTCCGGGCTAAGTCCGGATACGAAATTCGGTTTAAACTACGGTTTAAGATACGAAAAAAAAACTTCCTATACAAAGGAAGTTTTTTTTCCCACAATGCCATTACAGACTTCGGTTCTCCACGCAATTTGATAACAATTAGACATTTTAATATTTTGCAAAAGCTGCTTAGCCTCTTCAGTCAGATGTCTTAAAATTAGACTTAGCTTTTAACATTTAAGCTCTTAATGTCCACTTGCAGATCGCTAAAGGTTTCCATTTTGTTAAGATAAAATGCAAACAATTATTTTCATAACAAAGTAACAAATGATTTGAAAGTTGGAAAGTTGGGACCGAAATTGTGGCATAGGTTCCCTGTCGAAACCACTTTTACTAAAAACGTTTCATAATTAGAGACAACGATTTGACATTTCGAGTGTTGCAAGTTTTTTCCATTTCATAAATAGTGAAGTCCCGCGACCGGTATTGACCGAAAGACCGGAATTAAATTCTGGACTTCGTGCATTTTAAAAGCTTTATTATTTTTAGCTACTTTCCCTGGTACCTTCCGGTGCCCATACTAACTCAGTCGGGTTAAAATCACAATGGTAAGGAGGCAACCGTGAAATAGTGAACCCCCTTTTAGCCGCCATCAGTCCACGACGTATCGTTCATAAAATACTCTTCTCTTTCCGGGAAATCTCCAACAGCTCGGCTTTCAGCATTGGTTCCTCAAATATAATGTTTTTCTTTTAGCCAGTCTTGGATTTCGCATTTTTATTTTAAATTATTATTATTAATTCGACTAAACTAAAAAACATCATCGCAACGTTGTTTTATTTTGCTCAGGGTATTTTATAAAAAAAACGGTATCGGTATTTTATTTAAAACATCGTACTCGAGCCCATCACTATGTTAAAAAATCTGGCCCCATTATTTTGTAGTTTGACATTTGTTGTTGTCTCTAATTATGGAACGAACTACAAGACAAGTTCTAAACTACTTCTAACTACGATTGTAAAATTTCAAATTTTAAAAGTCCAATATAAAAATGTTCTATTAATTGTTGACTTCTATCTTCCTGATATTTAATAATTAAAAGTACTCACAGTATTTCTTTTCAAACTCACAGCGCGATATTTGCACTTCACTACACTTCTCACATTAAATAGCGATTTCTTGCGCCATACACGTGGCGCCCCCTGCCGGCGCCTCACACAACGCTCACTGCTTGTAAGCAACTCACGAGTGTCGCCCCGCACTTCCCTTCCTCTGGCTGCTGCTGCTCTCGAGTCGGTTCCACCTCCAGCTCCGGGTCCCCACTGAAGGAGCTGCTCTGGACAGCGATCCACTGCCCAGTAATGACGCGAAGGGTGGTAATCTCTACCACCACCGGAGCCCACCCAAAATACTCGCGACCACTCCGGCTCGAAGGACCATGGACCTATAACTTTTATATAAAAATTCTGATGAACGAGGACTAGATAATACCACTATATGCGAGTTTATAGGGTATATGACAGAACAACCTAACACAAAAACAAAAAAATAAATTAAAAAGGGTATATTATCGGTGGTAACGAAACCATAGCGCGATCTATCCAGCCTTGGGACAACATTTACGGAATTTTAAATTAAACTCGAGTATAAATATGGCAGTTTCCAGCTAGTCGAATTCAATACTTTTATCCAAATTTCGAAAACGATACTTTTCTATGAAATTTGTGTGAAATACTGAGTTTGTATTAGAGTAGAGTAATACGTCATAATATTTTTGAGTCAAATAGCATACCTATTTCTTAAAAATTAACTAAAAAATATGTTATTTTGCAACATTTTATTGTATTGAAACGTTAAATTAATTTATTTTTGACCTAAGAAACTACCCAATTCTATTGATCACGCTATGGCTTCGAGTACAACCCCGAACATTTGTGCATCTGAATAATCTGAAGTACAAATTTGTGCTCTATTATTCAAGAATTAACAAAACAAAAAATAAGGAACCTCATAAAGATTGCTCTCGTGCGTTTAAAGGACCTTTTACCCTTTGTATTATATTATGTAGGGTTAACAACTAGTCATACATTTCTTTCGTGCATGTATTTGCAACTGACAGACAGTGCAGGAGATCTATACTTTTCCTAATTAAAGAAAATGTTTAGATTTAATTATATATTTCACGTGTCAGCGTATAAACATTAACCATGTACTATGTATATTTATATACAATTATTAAAAATAAATATCTGAGTATTGATAGTTGTTAGTGTCACGACTCATCTTGATGTTTGATGGAGACCAACGCGGTCATTAGAATAAGATGACGTAATCATTCACCAGGACATTACTTAGGTAGAATATCACCAAAACTTTGATTTGAACCGTGTTTAGTATATAAATTAGTAACTTATTAAATTTTGGGACTGGATATGAACTCGGTGTCTTGTGGAAAGCAAACAAGCTATTAAAAATGTTTCTGATGACTTACTTAAAATAATGCTTAAAATAATTGTACTCGATAAGCGGTCTCAATCCGCATCACGGTATGTGTCGCATATGACATTTGATTATATGTATGTGTAAATTAAATATCAATTTTAATGTTCTAAGGAATTTTCCTGTTTTAATAAGATAAATATCTTCGAACGCACAAGAAGACAATTATGAGGATGTAACAGTATTAAAATAGGTGTTAAATTAATCGGCTCTGTATTTGACGTCTCGCTGTCTAGATATATATTATATATGTACACTTAGTGAATGTATTACAAGCATTCTTATACCTGTTACAGGATAGCGAAGCACATTTTTAACAATTATTGACACAATTTTGTAGATGTGTTTTCTCTCAAAAGCGGTCTTACCGCATTTTTTCTCTATTTGCCATGACAATTGTAAGAATTGCAAATGAATATTAATTGTAAAGCTATCCTTTAATAGGTATTTTTAACTTATCTTTGAAAGATCTTTTGGAATAAGGATTGATTGGTCAGGGATTATATGAGTTTGTGCTTATAAGCACCGTTGCGTGTCTTCAAAGTGAGGGTAACTAATATCATATGTGTTCTATGTCGTGGTAGATTCTTTGCCTTTATGTATTTTAATGTATTCTGTCCAGAGTGCCTGTTCTGAAAGAATAAGGGAATATTGACGTTATCTGTATCTGTTGCTCATGGGGCTGATCTCATTCACTCTAACTGTTATAAGTAGTAAGATAATTATGTGTATTTGTCAGCATGTATTAATGCGACATCACAAGTGGATATGTAGTAAATATTGTATGTAAACCCCCAAAGCAACAGATGATATAAACAGTTTTCCATCGACGAGGTGACATGTCATTTCTATTGCTGATACCTGTACTTTTGTAAACATATACATATACAATATTGCAAAGAATTGCTTGATAGTACATGTTCAATGTAAAATGTGCGGTACACCACGGTACTTACGATTGTAAATAAATGAATTAACATTACATTTACGCGACTTGTCTAGATAAGAACGTCTGTCTATGTATTACATATTATGGCTCCCATAAGGTACCCTATATATAAAACTATATATTTCGTTTTCTTATTACATCTCACCTTGTCGTGAAAAACCAAATTACGATGAAGCGTCGGTAAAATTCATAAGTAAGGATAAGAATTATATTGATGGACTGTTTGAGTGGCCTACATAGGAATGTTCATGGTTATTATATAATATAAATATATATTATTGTAAATTATATACTTGTTGACTGTTGAATCGAAACTTCATAATATATTTATGTATATATGTATAAAAGTATGTATTTCGTATTTCTTACACACTTGTAAAACTGTTGGTTCATAATTGTCCGAATATAACTTTTGGAACTCGTATTAAAATTATATTATGTAACGTCTAACGATGGGTGCGATAGTTTGGTCTCTATTGAGGAGTAGCTAGGTTTAAAAGGATATTATACACTGAAACGCAGGGGTCCAAGTAACGCGTGTGATGGGGTCTTTCTGTAAACTCTCTCGTCTATAGACAGTGCTTTCCACCGACTTAACTTGCCAACTATACTTAAACTTGTTTCTAAAACTTTGAAAGAAATAAGGAACTATTATCAATGATCATTCCGAACTATATACGCCTTCATCTGGCGGAAATTTTACACTTTTCCATGGTGTCTTAAGCCTGTCGGGACAAAAGAGTGATTAGTATATGTATACATATTAGTATGTATGTATTTATGTATATATTATACGGTTTTATGATAAATGAATGTTATCCAGATCATGGAAAATCGATTGTTGATGTAGTAGACAAATTTTTAAACTCTTTCTTGATGTTGTTAAATGCTTGCACAGCGTTATGTATTAATTTTTATTGTTCTTAATACTTTTTGAATTGACGATTGGTGAAGAACCACCGAGAAACTTGACTTTAATGATTGCCTACGTAAAAGGCCTAATTTGAAAGACTTTGTTCTAGTTCAAAAATATTAATGGCAAGGTTTTCCAAAATGATGATTATCTGAAATCCAATGACACATTGTTTGTCTTGATATATAATAAATGCAATATGTATTGGATGAAATCCCCGTTCTTATCGTTTGAGGTAATTTTCCGCTAAAACCAAAGTACGGTTCAATCACATTTATTAGAAATCACAATGTTATTTAATTCTGTTACTTGATACCAAAAGAGCGTTATAAATAAAGCACACAATTGCGTGTCTTTGTATTTTACGATAAAATGTTTGTTAATATTGTTTTATATGTATAATTATTTCGTGCTTTTTACCTTTATGTACAAAATATTAAATGGCTCACATTATTTTCAAATAAGGTTACAATTTAATTATACTTTATTACTTTATGGTTTATTATTTTAAGAATTTGTTTTAGATTATAAATTATTTGCTTTCCTTACACAATGTAGATGCAAATAAATGTGTACGTGAAATATGTCTTCTATTATTTTTGAATCCATATTTTTACCACTATTAAGTCTGAAAATGCGATGATTTTCAACCCGTCCTTTGGGGGGACTGCAGAATACTAAGTTGTCAAATGTCAGTCTGGGATATCTATAGTGTCACAGTTGTAAATAAGCCAGCTTTCGTCGGTTCTAAAATCTTGAGGTCTTGAGAACCGGTGAAAGCCGGTCTAGATTTGTAGGAGATCTCCTGTAATCAAATCCTTGAGATCATTATGCGACAGCCACAGATGCAAACCACTCGACCGACAAGGTAGATAATAAAACAAACCTACATAGAGTGACCCACATATTTTAAGTCAAACTTACGAATGCAGTGATTGCAATGTTATTGAAACAAAAAAATTAAACTAGCAGTAGGTACCTGCTCGTACCTACACATAATTTTCTACATGATTAAGCCAAACACCGCAATAAATAAAATTTAATCACAAAGTAAACCGCAGTAGTTTTATTACCACGAAGCAAATATCCGTGGGTGATTATTTGTAAAATCTATCATAACGTAGCCGTGCATTTGACAACTTATGAAGAATAATACGGAAAAAATATCTTCACTCCGAGTAGGTTGCTAATCTCTCGCCGTTTTTGTTTTTTTGGCAAGGGAAAATCATCAAATGTCTGCTCCAGCCCAGGGTGAGGCGAGAGGGAGTGTTAGTGTTACTTTTACTGATTAAAAACCCCCGTTCCTTCTCCTGCTTTAGGCCGTGGTCGCGGTGCCTCATTGTGCTTACTCCGCAACCCCGGCTGAACATCAGCCATATGGGGCCACGTCCGTGGTGGTGAACGGGAACTTTGAGGCGCGCGAGGAACGCTACTACTTTTCACTCGGCTCTGATTCTGGTCGGGCGGGAGCTACCCTTACTCGCCGTCCACAGACCCGCGCTTACTGTGGCCGTAGAGGTCGCCGCCGCCGATCACTTCCCTGAGGACAAGGCGATACTCAGCCAAAGTAAGGCACACCGCCACCGTGTACTCCACTGTGTTCTTTGGGTGGTCCTCACATAGACGACAGTCGGGCGTTACCTTCCGCCGGATCCGAAACAGGTACCTACCTAATACCTAATCTGCCTTGCTCGGTAAGCAACTACGTCAGGCGGAAGGTGAGGACGCCATGGCGTCACTCAAGCCACTCTTCAAAGAGGGTTGTTACCGCTGCAATAACAGCTTGCCCGGGCCTTGGTTGCGACAGACGTTGCTTTCACTCTGCCATGAGATCGCGCCGGAGCGGACATATTTGGCCCGTCGGAGGATCTTACCCCGGTGACACGCGTCCTACGATCTTCTGGGACGCGACCAGAGCACGAGCTGGCCGAGCGCCCACACAGGGTAGTGGGATGGAGAAATTATTCGATGATCCACTCCCACCCCGTTTTTTCTCCTGATCCAGGCCGAGATTGCGGAACATTTAGAATACCTTGGTGAATTCTAATTTAGGGATTAGGAAACTAAAAAAACCAAAAATAATGAATCCTTCCTAGCTAACGCACTAACTTCTAATGGGGTGATAATAAACCCATCCACTTATGGTAGCCGGTAAGTAGGTAACTTAAAGGTAGATGGACTAATCAATGAGCTATTCAGCAGTAAGTCCAGCACTAATATTTGAATGGAAATTACGTCTACGAGGTAGCGATATCAATTCCTTCGTAATTGGTCCGTAACATGAGTGATTAGTTTCAAGTGATGCGGATAGCTGGACGGGCGCCGAGCGGAGCACTCAGGCTTCTAAAACGGTCAAGGTACGTGTAATAAATAATAAACATAATGATTAATTATCATGTTTGATTTGTATTTCTACGATGTTGCAATGTTGTTGCAAGGCTGTGTATAGGTACATAAGTAGGCGCCTACCTACTTACCTAGAAAATAAGATGTTACCGTTTGCAACTTTACTAGTTATGCATTCGATCGCGCAAATCAAGTCTAGTGTCGTCTATAGCATGTCGAAACATTTTTTCCCCGAGAGAAATCGTATTGTAATGAGAACGGAACCAGTATCTAGAAGCCGTGTTGGCCAGCGCTAAATCACAGTCGTTTTAATTAAAACGTCCGGATTATTCAGATCGTATCGGTACAAAAACAAATAAGCGCTCCCTTGGCCCCGTTCGCTTCGTGTTTGTGATCACAACGATCCCAAGCCGAGCGTTGTTCTACATTTCGGGTGGTGTTCTACCTAAATTTATTAGTGGACACGAAAATTACGATTCGGTAGCAAAAACCCACAAATCGCTCCCTTATTGTTGCTTTTGGTTAGCGTTTCGTCTAGCAAGCCATTGATCGAATTTTGTGAAAGGTCGAACGAATATTAAGGTACTATAGGTAATATTAGGTAATATATATTGGTACCAACTTAGATACCAATGAATTCTTTACACGCATTGGCTGATGTTTATAAATAAAATAATAGGTAATGTTGAGGGTTGTGGTAAGTTTAGTGGTCTCTCAGTACCTATGTAAGTATACCTATCAGGGAATTATTTAAGAAATCACATTAGGTATTATTATTTAATTTAATCGACGGTCGAGAGCCATCGAGCCACCAGCTACGGCACGAATGGGCCGGCTCGACCGGCGTGATACCACGGCCTCATAGGAAACCGGCGTGGAACAACACTTATTATAGAACCTTATCATTCGCTCTATATTCTGTGCAATGGTATCTACTTAATAAAATGTTCTAAGTATCTATTGTAATATACCTACTTAGGTACCTAATGTATGTATAAGTAATGATTTATTGCGTGTAGCGACACCTTGCAGCAAGTTAGGGATATAAGTCCAACACGAATTTATGGCTTAGGCCTTTAAGTTCGCAACAGCGTGCAACACTACTCTCGGTTATATCTACGCTAGGTGGCGTTAGTAGTAACATTCTGATTGAATAGAATTTAATAAGACAATTTAAAAGCGTGATCTTAGTTCAATTTGATTAGCTATATATACCGTAGTCTTTAGAATTAACGTAGTGTACTGTTTATGGGTCCGTGCAAAATTACATATCATATATAGGTACATTATATATATATACATTAGCCAAAATAGTAGGTAGGTAGATATATTTTTCAAACACCCTCTTAAAAAGGTAAATATCATAGCGTGGCTTATTAGAAGAAAGCAGTTTTCAGTCAGCCAACGATGTCAGTTGCACTATTTAATAAAATAATTGATTAATCTGATTTCAGTATACTTATATCTAATATAGAAGGAAGGAAGGAATTGATGCCAACGTTGAAAAAAAATTACAGAATAAATTTGGGAGTCGATTACCGTTTATATCTGGGTAGATTGAATGATTCATCATCTTATCAATCAAGAACGCCATTCTTAGGCTTGCATTGTGCGGCTAGCTACCAAGTGTGATATCATGCCCTCACCGAAAACCAACGTGTATCAACGCTGAAGTTGTGTTTCGTTTGAGAGTGAGGTGACTGAAGGCTCAATGTTGTCCCTCTCACCTTTCCTCACCTAATCCCCAGTACTCAAATTCCCAAAAGGCCAGCAACGCACTCGTCACTCCTTTGCAGTTAGGTACTGGTGTTCATGGCACCGATAGCTTACCATCAGTTGATTCGATTATTCGTTTGCCGCCCTATGACAAGAACTTTGTTTTTGATTTTTTTGCCCTACACTAGGATATTCTCCTGTGTCGTGGGTGCAGTTACAAACATACAATTAATACTACAAAAATCACACCCAGACCCGGAACAACAATTCGTAGATCACACAAAGAGTTGTTACATGCGGGAATCGAACCCGCGACACGTCGCAAAGCAGCTAGTTGCCCAACCACCGCACCAACCGTGCAGTCAAGAGAAGAATACAGTTATTCTTCTCTTGACTAAATTGCGTAGTTTTCTAGGTCAAAAATAAATTAATTAGACGATCAATACAATAAAATATTGAAAAGAAACTACTTATACCTACTTTTATTCATCGAATTTTCGATACACTAAATTTACAATATTTGCTAGCTACATTTTGAAGAAATAAGTGAGCTGAGGGCCTAGACAAGTGGCAAACGCTCGGAGTCGTTTCTATTCTACTGAAAATGAACGCTTGGGCGTTAGCGTTTTTCGATTGGTAGCCAAGTGTACAACCATTTGTCGAACGCTCATTCTATTCGTATGTTACAAAAAACATCAATTGTTCTTTATGGTTTGTCGTTCGCTAATGTCAGTTTGACAATGGGTCGTCGCAAAACTAGAATATTTTTAAGTTGTGAAGTGATGAATTCATGAATTTTTTAAGTGAAATTATACATGGAATAGCGATTTTAAGACGGTGAGTACTGTAAATAAGTATGATGTGATAATCTAAATTAAATTATTTTAGTTATGTATTATATATCGGCGTCATGTTTGTGTATTTAATATTGTGTTGAAATGGTTACTAGGAATAATATTATTTTTACATGGAACCGAGGTTTCGAGCTAGTCTAGAGCAATTCTTAATTATTTTAGATTTTATGGAAAGTTCATTCGTAAAATCGTATCAATATTTCAATATCTTCACTCAGATTAAACTTAATATCAACATTGTCGTGGTCAATCTGCAATCTGCACAATCAACAAAGGAATATACCACTTAGGCAGTTTGTTTATTTTATGAGCGCGGCGATATGTCGAAACCCTAGACGACTGTTCAAAGGTCAGTTAAAGGGATATTAGCTGTGGCAGAATTTATCGAGTATGTTAAATTCTTATGGTGGTAGAAGAATTTCGAAAATCAACAGATAACTAGAAAATGGCATGAATTAAAAATAATATCAGAGTCCTTAGCGATTTCAATAATGACGACCTCAGTAAATTAAATATTTATATATATTTATTTTTTATGAATCTAAAATCTTTGGATAGTATAATTTGACACAATGCTTTTTATTAATTGTGATTTTTAGGTGTAGGCAGACTGGAAGACAAAAACTAAAACCAAATATTTTTAAATAAGGCAAAATTCTGGTGGTG